TTTTTTTTTTTTTTTTTTTTTTTTTTTTTTTTTTCTCCGGTACCAGGAACCGAACTATGCAGTTCAGGCTGGCCTTGAACTATGTAGCCCAGGCTGGCCTTGAACTTGCAGCAATCTTCCTGCCTCAGCCTCCCGAGTGCTGGGATTACAGATGTGCGCCACCATACCCAGTGAGCCCAGGAATTTGAAGCTAGCCTGTAAGACACACAGTGAGACATCACCTTAAAAAACAAAGCCAAAACCAAAAACCAAAACAAAGCACAAAACCTGTTTTTAAAAGTTTATGTGTAGGGCTGGGGATATAACTCAGTGGCACAAGCATCCGCCTGGCAAGTGCAAGGTCCTGAGTTTGATTGCCAGTACCCACAAAAATACCCCCCCAAAACCATAGAAGTTTATGTGTAATTAAGTGCATACTTAATACAACATTTGGAAAGATGGCAATGGACTAAACACTCCAATTTTTAACTGAAGACACTAGCCAGTTGTGGTGGCACACACCTGTAATCCAGCATTCTGGGAAGCTGAGGCAGAAGGATCACAACTTTAAGCCTAGCCTGGGCAACTTAAGAGACCCTCTTTCAAAATAAAAAGGGCAGGGGATATAGTTCACTGCGAAGGTCCTGGGTTCAATTCCCAGTGTGTGTGGGGAAAAGAGGTCAAGTATACCAGGAAGAAATAGCAATCATAAATAGCTGAAAGCCTAACATCAAATGTTTCAGAGATATTAAGCAAAAATGGACAGAAGTAAAGGGGAAAACAGACAATCCAATATTTGAGATTTTAATAGTTCTCTCTCAGCAATTTAAAGAGCTAGATCAAAAAAGGTCTTTATATCGCTATGGAAAAATGATGTGAAAGACACTGTTAACTGTCTTGTCAGACAGCTGCAGAACATATACTCTGCAGAACTCACAGATAATTATAAGCACATATGGTACATCCACCAAGACAATGTGCTGGGTCATAAAACAAATCTAAATAAAAATAAGTTAAAAAAATATATGAGGGCCAGGGATATAGCTCAGTGGCACAAGTGCCTGCCTGGTAAGCGCAAGGTCCTGAGTTTGATTTCTGGTACCCCCCAAAACATGTATATATATGGGCATATTCTCTGACCCTAAGACATAAGTTATAGACCAATAAGCATTAGAAATTTAGGAAAACCCCAAATATTAGACACAAAAAAATTATTTTTAAGAGACAGGATCTTACTATGTTGCCTAGGCTGGCCTTGGACTTCTGGGCTCAAGTGATCCTCCTGTCCCTGCCTCCTGAATAGCTAGGATTACATGTATACCACAAAGCCTGGCTGGGTAAATTTTTAAATAATCCACTCATTAATGAAGAAATCAGTGTGGCACAGAAGGAAATTTATAGCTTTAATGCTCATGTCAGAAAGAAAAAGAAGTATAAAATCAATAATCTAAGATTTTACCATAAAGCAATAGAAAAAAGGGGGTGGAGGTGCATGTCTATAATCCCAGCACTTGGGAAGCTGAGGAGGACTGCCCTCAGTTCAGAGCCAGCCAGGGCCATAGTGAGGTCAGGCCAGCTTGGCTATAAGACCCTGTCTCAAAACCAACCAACCAAACAAATAAAAAATGGGATTAATAAAAACAGCAGAGGTGATCCAGATTTTGAATTTAAAGACAATTAGAAACTAAACTATATTCTGTCTGAAAAATAACAGAACAAAACAATTCCATACATCTCTTGAGTCCTTCCTTTCCCAGCCCAATGTGGTTAAGAATAAAATGTGAAAAAACAAAACTGAGAGCAAACAAAAGCTAAATAAGTAAAGCAACAGAAATAATACAAGAAAAAAGGAAGGGAAGGGCCCTAAGACTTGGGCCCCCACTCTTTCTTACCTCATTGGCTGCAGCTGCCATGGGTGTTGGGTGGTTGACGGCATCGCCCAGGGCAATGGCCAGGCGAAGATCCTTCTGAATGTACTTCAGGTAGAAATCAGGCTTAAAGTTCCCCTGCAGAATATCTGTGGAGGGAGAATTACTTATCAGAAGACACCCAAGGACCCTATATAAAACCTTCTCCATCCAGGCACAGCACCAGCCTTTCTAAAGGTTATAGACCTGGTGCTGGTCCCTCTGATATCTGAAAGACAGGGCTCCCAGCCTGTGCCCCAAATTCCATCCATGGTGTCTCTGGCTTCCTCTGACTGGGCCAGTGGACTGATTGAGAGAGCACCTTTCACATCCCATGAACCCAGGAAGAGCAACTGCTGTGGTATACCTGCCTGATCCAGTTCCCGAGCTCCAATAAAAAGTAAGATGTGAGGAGAGCGGTGAAAACTGACTTACTTTGGCACTTCTGGTCCAGGAAGATGCTGGCCAACTGTCCCTGATTGAGGATGTCTAAGAGTGTCTGCTGTGACTGGCCTGTGACCTGGGCCAGGGTTAGCCCCTCCGCAATGGTGGCCATGAAGCTCCCTTGGACCATGTTTACAATCAGCATCATCTTGGCTGCATTGCCAACTTCACCTACTCAGGGCAAAGAGGCAAAGTCATGTCCCAAGAACCACTGAGGTAGGCCTCTCTGCCCACCCTCTGCCCTGTACCCCGGGGAGCCCCTTTCACCTGCCCCCGATAGAACTGGGTCTTCCTTCCAGGCATGTCAGAGGAAACCTTCCCCCAGGGCACCTGGCAGGGAGGCCATGTGGGACAGATGCTGTCACCAATGTGTAGTCCCCCCAGCCTCCAGGCCCAATGTGCCCCAACAGGTGCCAAGCATGTTACCTAGAAAGAAGGAGGTCTTCCCCATAGCCTGGAAGCAGCTGCTACAGTCCTCATATAGGCCCCTGTCTCCGGCTGCTAAGATCACCAACATCCCGTCGTTAGACAGCTGCTGATTCCCTGAGACTGGGGCCTCCAGAAAGCGCCCCCCCCTGGACACAATCACCTGCAATGGAAAGTCATAGCTTCTGGAGGGCTTGCCTTTCACAAGACTTTCAGGCAGGGAGCAAAAAGCGTCCGCATGGGCCATGGTTTCTCATCACACCAGCCATAACTACAATGGTGGGAGCCTGTGGTCTTCTGCGCTGAGGTCCCAAAGCTGATACCTGTACCAAGGACTATGGCTGTGTACAGTCAGTTAGCTCATCTTTCATGCGTGTACCACAGGGCATTAATACGAGAAAAGTTAAATGTCTGTGTGCAGGCTCCCATTTATTCTGGAATTTTTAAAAAGACCAAGGAATAAATGTAACTGTGCCAGTTACTGGCTAAGCATACCTTCCCTCTGGTCACTGCCTGTCCCTGACTTCAGCCACCCTACCGAACACACACAGATCCAAAGTCACTGGTCCTTTACTTGCACCCAGAAGACGTGGGTAGAGGGATGCCAAAATCAGTAGTTGTTTAAACCAAAATGGCCAAGTTGATGGCTAGGTTGCTTCCAATTGCAAGGCTGGCTGCCACAGGACCCAATGCTCACCCAGCCTGCAGGAAGCCTCCCACAGCTGTTCAGACTAACTATGGCTCTGAAGATGGAGCAGGAAGATAGACTAGTCCCAAGGCTACCAGTGTCTCCTCTTCACTCTCTGGCTTTGGCTCTAGGGTAACCAAACTGTATACTTGTGTGTGGTCAGGCTGGGCCTTGGGCTCCCACTGAAAGGATGGTCCAGAGCCAGCTACCTGGGCCAGCTCAGTGACTGTGTCCGCATCCACCGTTGACATATCCACATAGCACTTCCCGGGGCGGATCCCTTGCAGCACACCACTGGGGCCCAGCACCAGCTGTGGGGACACAAGGGAAAAGCAATAGCCCAGGCTCCTAGGTAGATGCTTAGGAGCCCCTGCAGACCTGAGATCAGAAGACTGCTTTTTTTTTTTGCCTTTCTTGATTAGGAGTTAACTCTTATGGATGAACAGGAAAGAGCCACTAAGTAAGCAAGGGAAAGAAAAGTATTTCTAGTATGTTCTTGTCTATCCTCCCCACCCCTTGACATTTAAAAGACAGAAATTTATTATTTCATTTTTGGGGGCTTCTTTGGATTTATGTGAATTAGACTAGTCACCAGTTCAACAGGATGACTACTGCACTTGAACTTTTAACACGTACATATTCAGTAATAGCTAAACATAGGAAGTTGGCAGTTGGTCCAAAGGCACAATCAGCACTAAATCTTCCAGCTCTCTAAGAATACTTGGAGTCTGTTCAGGAACCATCTTAGTACAGACTTCAAGGTCCCTAGTAGTTTTCCTTCTTTGTTCTGAATTAAAGGAAGCCTGCATTCAACTTATACAAACACCATTTCCAATGGGAGATGGTCCCCAGTTGGGAAATTCAACCCCCCACATGCAGACACTCACTCCGTGTGCAGGGGAGGAGAGGAGGCCAGCCAGAACTCCTGGCTACCACCTAAGATGCAGAGGGGAGAGGGATCCTTACGTCCTTGGCTGCCTTTGGATCCGACACACAGGCGAAAGTGATGTCACAAGTTGAAACAACTTCAGCGGGGGTTCTTCCTAGGCGGGCCCCCTCCTGGATGAACAAATCACACTGCAAAAGTCACAGATCCTAACGTGAGCTGCAAGTGGTGCACAACAAACATGCCAACAGGCCAGAGATGCATGACCAGTCCTCGTGACCAGCTGTCCAAGGCAAGAAGCTGAGGCCAGGAGCCTAGGACATCAGAGCTGGAGGTCTGACCTCTTAAGGGAAGCAGACTGTGCCTTTTAAGGACTGCCCTGTGTTTTTGTGTACTTGGTACCTAGAATAATGTGCTACTTTGCAGGAAGCACTGAACAAGTTAATGAAGGTGTGCTGCTGGACAAACAGCCCCTCTGTGCCGTGTTGGTTGTGGCAAAATCTGTCTATCCTCTAATTGTCTATGCCCTGTGCTGGGGAAACAGGGCTCCTCCTTCCTGGCTGCTGTTCCTTTGTGGGATGTTTTCCAACACTGCTGCCAAGTCAATATTCCTGCCGGGTATGAAAGTATTAACCTTACTTTTCTGAAAATTAAAATCACCCAGAATATGCCACGAGCAAACAGACTATTAGTATTTTGGTGTATTTCTTTTTTTCTGTAGAAATTTAAGGGAATAATTAGAACAATTTGGGGCTAGTATTTTTGTTTTTTTTGAGACAGGGTCTTGCTATGTAGTGCAGGCTTGAACTCGCTTATATAGACCAGGCTGGCCTTGAACTCATGGTGATCCTTCCTGCCTCAGCCTCTGAAGTACTGGGATTATAGGCATGTGTTACCACTCCTGGCTCTGGGCCTAATATATTATAAGTAGCTTTTTATACTGTGTATGATTCACATTTATTCATAATGTTATAGTCTTTCAAAATTTCATTTATGGTTGATGACTGTGGAATATTTCATGGAGAGATACACCTTAATTTACCTAATGGTTCCATTGCAGTTTGATATTTTGCCAGCTTTCATCTTTAATTATAAATGACACTAACAGATATCTTTACATATAAAACTTCTCTATGTTTTGAATTTAGGTCTCTATTAGGGCTATGGTCAATTTATAATGATGATCTCCAAATTCTCAAATGTTAATCACTGAGTAGTTTAAAAAAACCTGTAAGCACCCATGAATACATTATTTATTCTTTGTAGGGCTGAGCATGGCACCGATTGGTTTACACATGCTAGGCAAGTGCTCTACCACTGGGCTACAAACTTAGCCCCAATAAATACATATAAAATTTTTCTTATTTGGTAACTTTATTGGCCAGGAAGTGGTACCTTTTTGATTGATACATTTTGCTCATTCCTGACTAATGAACTTTGTTCTGTCTACTATTTTCTCTTTTGTGAGCCATTTTTCCTTATGTGTTTAATACAAATCAATATATTACCCTTTCCCTGTATTTGCTAAAAATACTTTTACTTGGTGTGCTGTTACGGTTGATACATTGTGTCAACTTGAGGAGTCTGGAGGCTTGGCTAAGTGACTCAGCAGTTCTACATCCTGGAGTGAGAAGGACATGCCCTGCACCTCTAGGATGTTCATTGTGTCAATTTGAGAAGTTTAGAAGGTTAACTAAGTGACTGCGCAGAGGGCAGGTCCTTACTTTGTATCATCCTGAGCCTGTGCAGGAGGAGGGCATGGGGATTATGTGAGTGCTGCATGCCCCTGGGTGGAGGGAGCCTGCTTACAATATAAGGGAGGGAAAGAGGCTTGCCCCCCATTTTGCTCTTGCTGCTTTTGCTGTTTTGTGCTGCTTAAAATGTTGCCCCTATGCCCTGCCACCTGCCTTGGATCCAGCTGATTAGACTGAATCCACTATAAACTGTAAGCTAAAGAAACCTTTCCTTCCTTAGTTTTAGTGTTGGGTATTTTGTCTCAGCAACTAGAGAAAAGTAACCATGACATATACTTTTTGTTGTGTGGGAATACTATCAGAACTACTGATTAGCTTGGTATGGCAGCCCATGCCTGTAATCCCAGGACTCTGGGAGCTGAGGCTTAGCGAGACTATCTTTTTGAGATAGGGTCTCATTATGCAGTTCAGGCTTATCTTTTTTTTTTTTGTTTTTTTTTCCTGGTACCAGGAATCGAACTCATGGCGTTGTGCCGCTGAGCTAAATCCCCAGCCCCCAGTTCAGGCTTATCTTGAGCTCACTTCATGGTCCAGGCTGGCCTCAAACTTGTAATGATCCTTGTGCCTCTCAGCCTTCCGAATGCTGGGATTGTAAGTGTGCACTACCAGGTCGGGTGAGATTGTTTTTTTTTTTTTTTTTTTTTTTAAAAAGGCAGCTGGAGATATGCTCAGTGCAAAAGGCCTGGACTCAATTCCCAGTGCCATAAAACAAATTAAAACAACAGTTGATTTTTTTTTTTTCAATGAATGGATTCTTTTTGGACTTCACATCTTTTTTTTTTTTGAACCAGGAATCAAACTCAGAATCTTGTGCTTGCCAGACAGTAACCATGCCACTGAGCTATACCCTCAGCCTGTCTTTCTGGTGTGGGAAGATTTACATTAATTATTTTCTTCTGGGTTTTCTTTTCTCTTTTGTTTTTTTGAGACAGGGTCTTGCTATGATGTTTAGGCTGGCCTTGAGCTCATTTTGTAGCCCAGGCTGGTCTCGAACATGCAATGATCCTCCTGCCTCAGCCTCCTAAGTGCTAGGATTACATGCCCAGCTTCTTCTGGTTTTTCATTTAAAAATTTTTATTTATTTATTTATTGGTACTGGGAATCGAACTCAGGACCTTGCACTTGCCAAGCAGATGCTTTCATTTAAAAATTTAATTCAGTAGTTGATTTGAAATACATTTTAGTAAGTGGCAGGAAGTGAGATCACCATTTTCCCAAATTTCTAACCAGTTGTCCTGAACTTTTCTGACCAGCTCTTTATTATGCCTCTCTGGTTCCTAGTGAGCCACCCTTATCCAAGGTGGTCCAAAGCTGCTGATTCTACTTGGTGAACCTGGGTCTCTACAGCGGCCTTTGAATAATAAAGCTGTAGATTGTTTCCATTTTGATTGGGAGGGTCCTCCTCCTCATTGCTCTTTTCTAGAAATTAAACCATATTTTGGGTCTCACTATATAGTTGAGACTGACCTAGGCTGGCTCTGAACTTGTGATGAGCCTCCTGCCTCAGCTTCCCAAATGCTGGGACTACAGGTGTGCACCGCCATGCCCTAGAGGATTTATTTCTTTTCTTTCCTTTATTTCTCTCTCTCTCTCTTTCTTCTTTCATTCCCTTTCTTTCTTTTCTTTCTTTTTCTTCCTTCCTTCCTTCCTTCCTTCCTTCCTTCCTTCCTTCCTTCCTTCCTTCCTTTTCTTTCTCTTTCTTTCGTAGAGGATTTTCCTTCCCTCCTCCCCTCCCTCCCTTTCTTCCTTCCTTCCTTCCTTTCTTTCTTTCCTCTCTTTCTTTTCTTCTTTCTTTCTTTTTCTTGTTTTTTGAGACAGTCTCACTATGTAATTCAGAGGACTTTTCCTTCCTTCCTTCTTTTCTTCCCTCCCTCCCATCCTCTCTTCCTGTCTGTCTTTCTGGTTTTTTGAGACAGGGTCTCACTATGTAGCCCAGGTTGGCCTCGAACTCATGGCGATTAGAGGATCATTTTTATCAAGAGCCTTAAAATAACTCCCTAAGGACTGTCCTAAGGACTAACACCCTTTCCCCCCAAGCTGGGAAATGAACCCAGGATCTCAATGCACTCAACCATTGTGGCACACTTGCAGCCACATTTAATGGCCTCTAAAATATTATTTATTTAATTTTTTATTTTTTTTGCTAAAATGAGGTTTTAAAGACATTTACTAAGTAATTTATGGCAAGCATTGTGCTAAGTACTTTAGACCATCTTTTTTGTTTTTATTTTTGTTTTTTTTTCTGGTACTGGGAATCAAACTCATGACCTCACGCTTGCCAGGCAAGCACTGTGCCACCGAGCTAAATCCCCAGCCCCTAGACCATCTTATTTAACTGCCACACCCTGTGAAGCAGGTGCTACCGCCACTGTCATTTTACAATGAGGATTTCAAGGCTCAGGTAACAAAGTCTTGCTGAAGAAGTAGCAGACCTGTGATTTCAACTCAAGTTTGCCTGCCTGCATTCTAAAATTATAACTGCTTCACTCAGCGGCCTTCCATAAGTCAGTCTGGAAGACAGTCATGTTGATGACACTTTAGGAATGGAGAATAGCCAGAGGCACTTCTATCAAAGGGAAATGCACTTCTCATGCACACCCACTGATCTGTCTTTGCTGTCCTTGTGACCATGTATGCCTAGATTTCCTGGTTATCCTCGCATTTTTTTTTTTTTTTTTTTTTGGTTTGTTTTCCAGTACCGGGAATCGAACTCACAACCTCGCACTTGCCAGGCAGGAGCTGTGCTGCTGAGCTAAATCCCCAGCCACCTATCCTCGCCTTTAGCAAGAGCAAGGCCTGAGAAGAAAGTCTGAGCCATGAAATCTGCCAGTGGGGCTTCTAACATCTCACTATTGATGTTGGACCCCAAAGCACTTACCCAGTGGTCAGCAACTGCAGCCTGGACACCTGAGTATGGCCACTGGTGCCTGTTTTCCTCAGGCCCTCACAATTCTCCAATCACTTGTCTGTTTTTGAAAAGTACTTTACCCAGTAATTTTTTATTTTGTTTAGAAATAGAACTTTGAACTTTGTGTGTGTGTGTGTGTGTGTGTGTGTGCTTAGACTTGAACTAGGGCTTCTGTGTGCTAAGCACATGTACCACTAAGCTATACCTTTAGCCACTACAACATTTTTACTAACTCACTATCATCAGTCAAATCCAATACCTTCTTCAGCAATCACACCTCACTTGAGCCCTCACTGCTGCTTACTGATTAAAGGCTTGAGTAGCATCCTGCTGTACACACATGGGTATACTTAAAAATGCACACTCAACCACACCGCATGTGTCAAGAGGCTTCACTTCTTTAGTTTCTCTTCCTTCACCACATGCAAGAACACTGTTGTACCTTCCTAGTATTCACATTATAGTTCATCTTTTCTCAGATGAGAACTTGGGTCCAACGACTCTTGCCATTATAAAAGGTACACACTTGCAGATTTAGAATTCCATTTCTGGGCACACATGGGGCTCCTGAGCTACCACTTAAGTTAAAAACTTCTGAACTTACATAGTCTGATAGAGTAGCCATGAGCCACATGAGGCTATTTAAATGAAGAAATATTACCAATTTAATTTTGCAATTTTACACAAATGCCAAGTGTTCCATAGCCAATTGTGGCCAGTGGCTCCTACCCAGGATGCAGCCACAGCACTTCTCCATCACTACAGAATACTCTAGAGCACAGCACTGCTCAACATGGCCCCCACTGCAGATACAGTGCAGCTGCTATGAAGATGGGATCAGATCTGATACTCACTCTCAAACATAACACACAGGAAAAAGGACATAGAAACCTAACATGAGCTATCTCAGGCAATGGCAAGGAGGAGAAAAATTATCCTTCACTATATGCCCCTCGGTATTTAAAAATTATCAGTTTTAATAACAACATTCTAAGCTTCTATCTATCTATCTATCTATCTATCTATCTATCTATCTATCTATCTATCTATCTACCTGAGTATCTTACTTTTCTACCAGCCTGGGCTATGCTTGGTTTCTACTTTATTCCATCTATAATGCTGAACAGAGAGAGGAGAAAGATTTCCCTGTAGTGTTATCCTACACTCCAAGGCCTGATAAGCCCCATCCTTGATGCTTACTTACTTTCTCTGCAGTCCGGTTCCAGACAGTCACTGTGTGACCCATTTTTAGCAAGTTGGAGACGATGCCGCTTCCCATGAGTCCAAGGCCCAAAAATCCTATCCTGAAAGAGACAGAGACTGAGTTCAAGGAAGAGTGGCTGGGACATGTCAAGAAGTACCTATCCGGCAGCACACGGTAGGGGACAGAACCTCAGGCCAGTGGAAACACCATCCAATGCACTGAGGCTACACCTAGTCAGATACACTGTAGCTACATTGTACCTTTTCTTGTCTTATAATGGTCTAAAAGTATCTCTAGGGCTGGGGAGATGGCTCAGCTGCACAGCACCTGCCTGGCAAGTGCAAGGTCCTGAGTTCGATTCCTGGTACCAAAAAATAAAGAAAGAAAGTGTTCCTAAATACAAATGGACATTGCTAAATCCTCCACTGCCACAGAAGAGAGTACTGCTTATATGGCTTGGGGCAAGTCTTCCAACTGTGGTTTCCTTCCTGCTTTTGATAAAGCATCTAAGCTTTCCATTTCACTATTGCAGTCAAAACAGAGACATGTCCTCAGCCATTGAAATGGCTTTCTGATCAGCCACCTTGAAACAAGGCCTTCAGATGCTACTTTAGAGAACATCAGAATCCATGACGAGTCATAGAGGCAATGTGTTCCTCTATGGGCAGCCAGGCAATCTCCCCAGCTAATGGGAACAAGAATCAGTCTGTACTTCTTTTTCCCAACTTTGGTTCTCCCAGACCTTCACCCTTACCTTATCTTTCCTGCTGTCAGCAGAGGTGAGCCTTGGCCCTTTTCTCCAAATAAATTCTTCCCATGAGCTTTGGAATCAATCTTCTCCAGTGCATGAATTCTCTTCCTGTACCTACCCCTCCCACATACCCTTTTACCTACAGTCTTTTGTGATCCCCTGCCACTGTGTACTCAACAGCCTGCCCACTTTGCTTACCTTCACTTTGTGTCTGGTTCTTCCCCAAATCCTACAATTTAGGGACTACTGCTATTTCTATATGCTTGTGGAAATGCTTTTCATCCCACCCCAATGTCTTTTCCGGCTCTTACATATTTTAATCGTCTCTTAAATGGGTCAGTGTCTAAACAATGCCTTGTCTTCATTTGTAATTCTCCCTCTTTCTGCCACTTATTAAGTTTGACCCTGTATTGTCCTCTCTGTACTTTCAGCTTCTGGAATCACATCTGTAGTCACCCTTGCAAAATGCTCCTCTTCTCAGAGGTCCCCCTGAGTCTTGCTACAATACCCACTGCTCACTGCCTCCCTGTCCTAGTCCCACATCAAAGTTGAAAATGGAACCCACCACATTCCTCATTCACTAAAATAGGGCTCCTTGCCCATTATGTTTAATGCCAAGGGTTAAAAACAAGCAGGTATTTTTTGTTATTCACAGCTCTTTGGGTAGTACCATTTCCCACACGATTCTAAATCAAGATAGGCGACTACTTCTCTTCACGTTCTAGGAAACGCAGTAGACTCAGGGATGAAGCTTCTGGCCTCTAACATGGTAACACAGTTCTCCCATGGAGTCAATGTGGATTAATGGGTGGCAACACAATTGGTTTGCTTTGTAGTTGGCTTCATATTTGTGTTAAAAAAGAGCTCACAGAAGGGGCAATCCAGATCTTGGTCCTCAGCCCTGTCTTGGCCTTTTTTCCTCCTTAGCACTGGTGAACCCAGGGTCTTTGCACTAAGCCATATCCTGACGCCCCTCCTCACCTTTATTTTTAATTTTGAGATAGGGTCTTGTTAAGTCACTAAATTATCTAGGCTAAACTTGATCTTCTTGCCTTAGTCTCCTGGAGTGCTGAGATTACAGACCTGTATGTAGACAGGGTCTTGCTATATAGTGCAGGCTGGCCTTGAACTTGCTTATGTTGCCCAGGCTAGCCTTGAATGCATAATGAACCTCCTGCTTCAACTTCCCACATGCTGGGATTACAGGCCTGTGCCACCACATCCAGCTCATCTTAATTTTTAGAACCAACACAATCCTTATTAAATTAATGGATAACACCTACCCCTTACTTTTGGTTCTTATAGCCAGGGTCTCCCTATGTAGTTCCGGCTGGCCTTGAACTCACTGTGTTGCCCAGGCTGGCCTCAAATCCAGTGATTCTCCTGCCTCAACCTCCTGAGTGCTGGCATTATGGATGTGAGCCTCTACACTGAGCTCCCTTTTATTTGCATAAAACATGTTCCTATCTTCTCCATTCTCAAAGGGAAATTCACTACCAATCATTTGTAAAATTAGTGATTTCAACAGTACAAATAAAACATCAAGTAAAACATATGTTGTTTTAGACTGGGAAAAAATTACATAGATAAACTGAAAAAATCAGACTTTTCTTGGTCAGCAGAACATGCCTTGTTAGTAAAGAAACCCTTTCTACTAGGTGACTCTGCAGACCAACAGAAGAGGAGCAAAGGTGAGTCTGGGGGCAAGCTCAGGCTTGGGCACCACAATCTAAGAGCACGCCAGCCTGGGCAGGGGAAAGCAACAGGCAGACGGACCAGATGGATGGGGAGGCTATAGTTCTGCGAGCTGGGGAGGATAGAATAATGAATGAGCTTTTCCCCCAAACACCTTCACTTCTCTCTCCTGTGGCTAATTCTGGGGCTTCAATAATAGGTCTACTAAGACAGTGGTGTTTAAGTGTGGTCTCCTGACTTGTAGCAGCAGCAGCAGCAGCAGCACCAGCAGTTTTGCTACTTGCTAAAAATATGAATTCTTTGGGTCTATCCCAGACTTATGAAGATGCCCTGGCCAGGTGTGGAGGTCAGCAACTGATGCTTTACAAGTCACCTTTCAGGTGATTCTGAGGGACAGGAAAGGCTGAGACGTCTAAAGCAGGTGCTCATGCTTGGAGACTCGTTAAAAGTTATAGACCCTCTGAGGTTATTCCCAGGAGTCCTCAATAAATAGTTATATGATAACTTCTGTCTCCTATAAGTCAAACTGCTCCCAGGCAAATCATGATCATTAAGAACCAGAGCTCTCTCATCAATCGCTGGGACATAATCCATAAGGACCCCACTGGGGACACTTCCTCTGCCCCAGCAGAACCCAAACTCAGGAGGCCCTCTCATCAAAGTTCTTACTTTTTGTCTGTGGGTGTGATGCTGCCATTCACGGCTGTGCTGTCCGCTGCCTGGATGGAGGTGGAACCAGTTTCCTAGGGAGAGCAAGCACAAATTATCCTATCAGTCTGCTCACTGGGAGACCTCAGGTAAAAATAAAAAATGGGGATGTGGGGAGGCTACTTACCTCTTCACATATTTTCAGCTTCTTTGTGATTGCCTGGTAACAAACAGCTGGCTAATAAGAAGGAGAAAGCCTATTTATTAAATTAATAGTTAACCCGTCTTCATTATAATTTCCCTAAAAGATTAGGCCTAAAGTGGGAAGTCAACATAAAATATTTTTGTTGTGTAATGTCACAGAACTCCAAATGAGGGGCCAGGGATACAGTTCAGTAGCATAAGTACCTGCCTGGCAAGTGCAAGGTCCTGAGTTGGATTTGGTAAAAAAACAAAACAAAACTCCAAATGAGACACTAGAAAATTAACACACATACCTTACTAAATTCTCCATGTAACTCTATATTTTAGTATATGTGCTGCCAAAGCAAGCACTCTGTGTAACTCTATAAAGCTCTTTTATCTCACCAAAGCACTGAGGATCAGATGCACTGAGTGGGTTCTGTGTTCAGAGTTATAGCGCTGGTCAGTGTTAGTGGCCTTGGAACATAGATCTCTCCAATTCCAAAGCCATACTGAATCCTGGCAAGGCTGGATCTAACCCATGATCTCACAGACTTTGGGAATGCCTCCCTCCACAGCTACAGGGTATGAATACAACCGTGACCTGTGAGCTGTGGGATGTGTCCCCCACAGACTACCTCACAGGGGCTGACAGCTCACAGGGTCTGGCTCCCATATTAGAATACAAAGGCAACTGCACATGTTTCTATCAGATTACTAGCTGAGTTCTAAAGGCTGCCTTTTGGTTTATTTTTAACCTCAGCAGTGCCTGACCTCCTTCTGGGCTTACACTGTGACTTTTTGACTACTGCTCTGGGTGATATATAAACAGAGCCCGACTTTCAGACCAGTTGAGGAGGTTCCAGTGATGCACATCCCCCTGGCAGGCTATCCCCCTTGAACAAGGGTCAACAGCCTCACAGGGTCACTCACCTTCTCTGTTTGGCTCAGCAAGAAATGATGGAAATGAGGATCTGCATCCTTGACAGGCTGAAACCAGAAGACAATTAAATAAAACAAGCTACCTTCCACCAAAGGGATCTTCCTCCTGCCTTTGAATTGGACCCTCCTTGGGCTGTAGCGCCTCTGTGCTCTGGTCCTTTTCACAGCTGTCTGGAAACATCTCACATTTTTGGCCTACACCTTTTTAAAATGACTACTAATTCTAGCTAGGGAAAAACTCAATTCAAGTGGAAATGGACAGATGTTTCTGACAGGTTGCTCTACACATTCCAGTACAACTGTGGGAAAATACCAAAAGTTGTACCAGTACTTTAGTATTTGGCATTCCCCAAGCACTCACACAACCCAGTGGACTATGCTATAGTGATTCCCAGGACACCTCTAGTTTTAGGGCTTTGGCCTCTTTTGTCTAGGATCAGACAGGGGATTTGCTTTCCTAAGGGTCAGTTCTGATGGAGGAAGAGAGTGGCCTGAACCACAGATCTCCATGGCTACTCACAATATTGCCCAGCAACAGGTGCGGCCCACAGCAAGGACAGGATAACCCCAGGCTACCAAGAGTTGTGTTTGTGAACAAGTGTGTGTTTGTGACATATGAAGAGAAAAAAATGAGCAGAATGACTCCACTCACACCAGAATGACACATGTAAGAGAGCTGAGTGGGCAGACTGATGCTGTAGTTATTTACCTCAAACATAGCGGGGCTCACCCTGCACATGGAGGGCTTTACTTTTTATCTTGTGAACTTGTGTACTTTTTTGCAGTTAAACTATGCAAACAAACAAAAACAAAACAAAAGGAAAAAAGGGAAAAGAGGATCACACCGCAACATCAGGAAACCTGCTGACGTGGTGGCCTGTCCAGCCTGCAGGTGAACGCTTTACCTCACTCGCAGATGGCTGCCATTTAAACGTGGCCATAGGTCCGGCCATCATCCCCTTCACGGTACTAGACTCGGGGATAGTGAGGTCCTACAGAAGGAAAGGCAGAGCATCAGGACACTGTACTTCCTCCAGTCACATTCAAATCTGAACAAAACTCCTGGCAATTGCCATAGTCTATGTGAAAGTTCAAGCCAATCCCAGGCAAGGTTCTGATGACTGTCTTTTGGGAGAAGCAGGGTGAGGTCTTCCTATCAACACAAGGGAAGCCTTTCTTCTCCACTCTGGAGATAAAAAGTTCTTGCACCTAAATTTCACAAGCGCAGAGGTAATCAGCCCAGCCATCATCTGTAATGTTGTAAGCGAAGTTATAGCAAAAATTTCTCATGGTCTATATAATGAATGTTAAACAACTGCGGCTTCAGAAGGAGTCCATTGTATTTTTAAAAAACAAAGTTGCATGGTGCTGGTGTTTTCTGCTCAAATCTTATGGCTGTGACCTGAGAAAGCAGGAGTATGCCCAGGATGGTTGCATGGTAGCTGCTCCTCTTCAGCATCACTTGGCCCCACTCTTCCTAGGTAAAGGGCCACTGTTCCAGCTCAAAAAGCTGCCTGACTCCTTCCTATCCCTCTGATGCTACTATGTACCTTCTCTTCCCATTCCCTCCCTTCCTGCTTTGGTGACGCTACCATTGTCTCCATTTGGACATAAGTGAGAATCTTGACTTATCCCATAAACGTTCCATCTCCCCTTCCCCCACCAAATGCTCCTCCCACCTATTCTACTAGACCAGAATCTCTGGAGTCCTCCTTGATTCCCCCCACCTCTAATCCATTGGCAATGACTACTGCTTTACAACTGGGTAGCTATCCCTATCTCTCTACCATCCTCGCTACTAAAACCCAAGCTCTGGTTACCATCACCTGACACTCGGCTGGTTACAAAGTAAGTCTCCCTGCTTCCACTCTGGACCCTTGCAGTCTAATCTCCACACAGCAGCCAGAGTAATCTTTTTTTATTGTTTTATTTGAATTTTAATTAGTACATGTATGCAGTACATAGTGATTACATTTATCATGGGGAGTTGGTACATGTATATAACACATCTTAGTTCTTTTTACATATGCTCTCCCTCCCCTCCCAAGAGAAACCTGAAAAGTCAAGTCAGACCATGTTTCTTCTCTGCTGAAAATTGGCTTTCCACCACTTCCCACTGTGTAGTGAAGCTAAAGCTTTATTATGGTAGCCTAAAGGGAGGGCTCTATATAGTCCGCCACCCCTAACCCACACTAATCTCCTACTTTGTGTCCTAATTCTTTCTCTCTCACCACTCCTTGTCCACCAGTAGTCCACTGGCCACCCCCTTTCCAAACACACCAAATATGGGTCTGCTTCAGTGCCTCTGCAATGCCAGGAAAATTCTTCCAACAGATGTCTACTTGGCTCACAGGCTCATTTTAGGTCTCTACTGAAATGTTCCCTTATCAGTGTGACTTTATTTGACCTCTGCATCTCCTCCATTAGAATGTGATGTTGATTATAATGACAGCAAACACGTCTCTGGTGCTTACTATATGATGGGCGTCATGTCACTATCATACTTTTTTTGGGCGGGGGTTTCAAGACAGGGTTTTGCTGTGCAGTTTAGGCTTGCCTTGAACTCACTTTGTAGCCCATGCTGGCCTTGAACTGCCTGAGTCTCCCACATACTGGGATTACAGGCATGTGCCACCATGCCAGGCCCTATCATACTATTTCATAGATACAACCTCTCAGGAAATTTGGCTTCCAAGTACATTCTAGAAAAATGACAACATTGTCAGTTTTGTTGATTTCATTCCTGTGTGGGGACCCATGTCTGATATTTGATCAAAATTTGGTATTTGTTGAAAAAATGAATAAATTTCTTTCCCTGGGGCCTGGTCTATTGTGCTGTTTTCTCTGTATATATTTGGCCCTTGGAGCTGCTTGATAAACATCTATTGAATAAAGAGGTTAGGAATGGGGGAAGGTCTACAGCAATGGTACCCAAAGAATTTTCTGAAATGATAGATGCTCTATATTTGTGCTCTGACACAAGAACATCCAGTCACACATCATTATGGAACGTGATACCAAGCTAGCATAAGTGAAAACTGATTTTCTTTTGGTGGTGGTACTGGAGATTAAACTCAGGGTCTCAGGCATGCTAGTCAAGTGCTTTACTGTGGATCTACCTGCCTAATCTCCAGCACTTCTTAAAATTTTTTATTTATTTTGAGACAGTCACTAGGCTGTCCAGGCTGGCCTTAAACTTGTGAACCTCCTGCCTTAGCCTCCTACTGTAGTAGCTGGGATTACAGGTGTGTGCCACTGAACCCAGCTGGAAACAATTTTAAATTGCATTCAATGTAATTTAAACTGTCATCTGGCTAGGGACAATGCAGTTCTAGGGAAAACAATGAGAATAAGGAGATGACAGCTTTTTGTCCAGTAGGAAGGAAAGGCCTTGGCTTCCAAACTGCCACTCCTTGTATGAGTTTGTGATTTCAGGAGAGTCCCAGGCTTGACTATGCTACTTCTGTGGGGGCAGTCTTTGCTTAGAGTTGCAGTTCTTTGTGTGTGTGTGTTTGAAATAGGGTCTTACTATATAGTTCAGGCTGGCTTCAAACTCACTATTAGCCCAGGCTGGCCTTGAATTCCAGGCATTCCTCTTGCCTCAGCTTCCCAAGTGCTGGGAATGTGCCACTGTACTGAGCAGAGTCGCAATTCTCAGCTCAGGACTAGGAAAGAATGGTCTTAACAAGAGGACAGGAGGCATGGCAACCTCTCAAATGTAAGTCTAGAAATAAACCCATCTCACCTACACAATCAAGGTCAAACCTTTTCACTCAACCTCTTGATATAAGAGATTATGCCCAGAACAGTACTCACCTGGGGCTCTAACCAGCCATTAGCCTGTGTTACTGAGGAGCAGTCAAATGACAGTCACTATGGCAACACATACATATCCTTTTGAGGCTACAGGATAGATAGATCAGGTAGGAAGAGGCACCAAAACTCAAGTCCTGGTGCACATATTCCCCGTAGCCTAAAGATAATGAGCTGAAATGGCTCTAATTGTCCTGTACCTCAGTAAGGTTCATCCTCTCTTCAGGACACATCCTTTCACTACAGACCATGTAAAAAAGACCCCATGAAAGGTCAGTAACAGGTGGAATTCCTGGACTGAAACCTGGCTGAACAATGGTACTATCAACAAACGAATAACTCAGACCCAAGAGCAAAGTGCTTTTTGCTGGGAGCCTGGAGGAAGTCTCCAGAAGGAGACTGGGCAGTAGGCAGAGGCCTTTGGGGATCCACTAAACTGACCATCCAGCTGTCACTGTACAGCCAGCTGTGACTCTTGAAACAACCAATGTAAGTACTTAGATCAGATGCCCAATGTACTGTAGGTCCTGTCCTCAGTGCTCTGCCTTTTTATTCAATTCTCACAACAAACCTACATAGCACAATGATCAGGCAAGGAAACCAAGGCAAAGGAATGTGGTCCAAATCACATGGATACAGCAAATCATGAGGTCACAATTCAAACTTAGGGCCTTAGTCCTAACCTCTCCTCTGTTTCCTTTTACCCTAAAGGAAGTGATGTCTCCAGGATGACACAGGAGTTAATGAGACACTTGCCTCAAGACAATGAGTTTGGAAAACAGTGTAAAATGTGATAACTCAGATTTCTTCTGGATCCTCAGGGAATAAATTTAGAAGCCACATTATATCTTTTGTGGATCAGATTAGATCATACTTTGTGTAAAGTTCTCTATGTACCGTAGTTGGTAGTTTTCTATACTTTCTCCACATGCTGGCCCATAGCACCAGGTGGGGGCAGTCCTGTGATGCTTGGTCTCCTATTTCCTTAGTCTTGGGCCAATTAACAGTGAGAAAAACCTTCTCTAACCAGAATCCTCACAGTGAGAGCCTACAGGCTTAGACTAGCCAGAGGGATATCCCACTAGACCCACAAAGTGTTTTCAAAATTTCAATTAGCCTCTAAATATTTGAAACTAGGATGTTTTACATACAAATCTGTGCTCCCAGCTTCACTCCAGGAAAACCAGGCAGGAGATAGCTAGAACCTCATAGAAGGAGCACGACCAAGCCAGACCTAATCTGCAGCCAGCCCTCCTGCTTGCCCCACACACTTGTTTTTTCTTTCACTAACTGCCTAGGCTTGCTGGTGTTTGAATCTGCCAGCCCTGCAAAATGTATAGCATTCATCATGGCCTTCTCACCCAATGTTTCTGCCAGCCATCTGGTTCCTGTTCCCTTCATTCTGCTGCTGATCTTCACCTCAGTTCTGCACACAGACTGCCTCTGAGTTTCTGAGACTATACCCAAGTCTTACCAGTGAGAAGGTGGGAAATATCCTATGCCCACTTGATTCTCACCTGCTAATGCTTCTGACTCTGACATCAATGAGCACATGTTCCCTTTGTAGAGCAGCCTCTGCTCTGATTCTTTTCCTCCTCACTTTCCAAAGACAAGCTCATCCAGTCTTAGGGATCTACCTTCCTTTCCTTCAGGTTCACCTTTCAACCTTCAGTCCAGTCTAGACCTTGCCTTAAGTCCATCACATTCTAAATAGAACAAGGACTGGAGTGTAGCTGAGTGGTAGAGTACTTGCCTTGCATTTGTGAGGCCACGACTGCCAGGAACTCTCATCCCCCTCAAAAAAACCTCTCCCAAGATAGCATAAATCCTTACAGAATGGGGTCCTCTTTTTCTCTCTGAGCCAGCTCCATTTCTTAACCACTCTTTGTAAGGAAGCTAACACCATTTCTGCTGAAAGATAGAAATTAATCTCCTTTTCCCTCTCCACATTCATCTCCACATAACCAGTTGCCAAATCGTAGGAACACTTCTTCTAATGAGCCTCTCCTATGTCTCTTACAGGATCTACTATCACTGTCCCCATGAATGTGCACCTGGCTTTGGCCTCCTAATTAGCTGTGAGCCCCTACTCCCTGCCTCATGATTATACTGACACCCTGACACCCAGCTCAAACAGCTTCAGAGGACCCCCACTGGCTTAAGGAGACCTGAAGGCTCTCCACAATCCAGTGACAACCTGTCTCTATCTTTCTGATCACCTCACAGAGACACTTACACCAACAGAGCTTCACACAGTCTATGCCTTTGCCTCTGGAAAGCCTGCCTTCCATGTCTGTTAGCCCTGCGAGCAGCGGCTCTGCACACTGGTTCAGGTGCATTGCTCTTCTGTTCATGTTCCTCCACACCTGTGCATCTGCCTTTCATCTGCTCTGCAGGACCCTTTAGGGCAGCACTCAGTATAGGACTCCACTGGGTGAACAGAAGCATACTGCAGAGTCCAGCTCTACCTACACAAACAGAAGTCACTAATCCCGGAAGCTACAGTGATAAGACAAACCTTCTCATCCTTTGGGGGCCGACCCCGCTTCCGGGGACTTTGCTCTTGGGCTCTTTTCAGAGGGGATTTGGAGCCTCTCTCTGCAGAGCCTGAAGACACCCTCTTCTTTCCTTCTCCCATGTTCTTCTTCACCTTCCCTTCAGACAGGCTAAGTTTGCGCTTCTCATCACCTGAGTTTGGCCTACTTCTCTCCTCACTGGAATTACGCCGACTCTTGTCATCAGCAGAAGTGTGGGATGATGTCTGAAAGTTTAATAATAATAATGGTAACCACCACAACCGCTGCCGCTGCCACCAACATGTGCTGTATACTGCTACAGGCACTTCTGTGAATTACCCTCATGTCCACCCTATGAAGAAGGCTCCATGGGCTCCCCTCTTACATTGGGGGAAGCAGATTAAAAAAGTAGAAATAAAAAAGCTAAAAGGAGTCTTTTGTTTACAGGCCCAAAGCTAAGAAGTAGACTTTAAAGTTTAGGCAGGGAATATATCTGGAGGCAGTGCTCCTAAGCTCTGTGGTGCACTCAAAAGCTAAACTACTCTTCCTGAGTCAAAGTAACTTTCCTAAAAGCAACAAGCTACTCAGAAAGGTGAGCTATAGGCATGGAGTTCCAGCAAGAGGCTGATACCTTAGCACTGAAGTAGCTCTCTCTCTAGGCATCTCATAAGAATAGAGTTGTGGGCTGGGTGACATTTGATCTGCTAGTAACTATGCAAAGTAACCAGCCTGGTGTTAAGTTGAAAATGGCATGCTTTCTCACCTGGTCTTTCCCTTTGGCTCTCCTGAGGAACTCTTCCACGGCATCCACAGCTTGCTGGAATCGTTTTCCCTTGTTGATTTTTATCATTTCCTCTTTATGAGCATGATATGGCTTTAGCTGCTCCACTTTGATCCAGGCACTAGCAGAACACAAACACAGAAAAGGGTAAGATCCAAACTTCATATACCAGAAAGTCCCAAAGTGCTCATGAGAGCAGAATGCAAGCATCTATTTGGTTTAACTAAATCTGAAAGAAGCATGACACTTTTTCAAAACATGTTAACCACCCAAATTCTTAAATCTATTTTCTTAAAACAAGTTAAGCAGAACTATAGTAACCATCACCACAAAGCAGAACATTCAAGTGAAACCAGTGTGCTGCAAACTATTTCCACCTTTGTTCACCAGCCTTCAACACCCAACTGCACACTCTGCCACTTGCTCAGGGCAACTGAAATCTGGAGTCTCTCATTCTCACTGAACAGCATAAAGGCCACACATGGATCCCTGAGAATCAGGGCACCTGGAGGCATTATGAACCATGCCAGTATTACTATGCAAGAAAATACTTGTTGCCCATCAACAACTGGAACTAGATTTATGATTTGCCCATTAACTAAGAATCTGGGATGTGGCCAAGGCTAAAGAAATGCAATTATCTTCTGAAATTTGCTGTGCTTAACAGTTATTTGTAGCCACTGAGCCTATATTTGTTCATAAATGATGGTATCCATGGCTACTAAACCCCACAAACATATGGCTTGGGAGGAAGGTAACAGTCACAAAAGGAGGCCTTTAGAAATGGGATTCTTTCTGAGAGTTAAACATAGAATATACTCCTTTGACACTTAATTTTGCTTCTCTTTTAGCAGTATAAGGGTTAAACCCATGCTTCACACATGCTAGATGAGCATTCTATCACTGGGTCACATCCCTGGCCCCCTCTGATACTTAATTTTTAATTCTACTATCTATATCTAACATATGAAGATGAAAAAAGCAGCCATCAATTCTGGAAAACCAGTGCTCCTATGCAAACCTCAGCAAATCTGCTGCAGCTGGCTTTCTGTGGTCTCTCTATAGGCCGTTCAGGTTATAGAACCCAAATATAAAAGAGAATATTCCATACTTGGCAAGGTATTAGTTAATTTACATATGTTTTATCCTGTAATATTCACAGGTTTCACAGTACAACCTTCAGAAAAAGTGGGTTAGGATAAGGATATAGAAACTGGGCTACCTCACAACTTCAAGTTCTTTCCTTAGAGAGAGCTAGGGAATATTTACAAACAGCGAAAGCGCCAACTTCCACTTACAAAAATAATGCTACCAACCCACCACCAGCTACCTGTTTTCTGAGTGTTGTGCTAATAGTTGTAATAAGAGGTCAGAACAAACATGACAGCCCTGGCCCTGTCAGCCTGAAAGTGCAATGTGGCAAAAACCAGGGAAAGGCAATTTATCTATGGCTAAACAAAATAACACATGGGACATAGACACTGTCTGACACAGACCTCCAACCAGCTATAGAGGCCGATGCTTCCCAGGGAGAAGCTAGCCTACAGCCTGCAGTTTGACGTGAGAAAGTCAACGAGCCCATTTACAGGGAAGACGCATGGAATGAGATTTCAACTCCCTATTTCCTAGCAAGTATGTCACTGAGCTGACATCTCTGCTTCTCCCTGAATTTACAGAGATTCTAATGAAACATAGGGCAATCAGGTACAAAACCAGTCAAGCCACCACACTAGCTGACGACAACCAGTGTCAGGAGTGGGGGGCACATAGCCATGGTATGTAGGACCTGCCTTATCCTGAGAGGTGCAGGTCAGAAGCTGAAACCCGTTCGAACTGTGAGGAGAAAAGCAACAAGGTGGTTTTGTGGAGCCAGACAACAGGTTCCAAGGGGCGCTGATGCTACCTACTCTTTCCCGCTCCTGCCATCCTTGGTCTCACCCAGTCATCCATCAACTTCTGCTTCAGAGAAAATGAAAAGGGACGATGTCTGTGGAGGAAGTGCCAATAAATCAACACCATTTTTTTGGTCAAAGCATTTTAAATGGATTACTGACTTCTGCCAAAAGGAGCAGTATAGTCAAAATTCCATTCACTTGTAAGATAGGAATTTATGACACTACAGTGAAATTTTCCTCTCTGCAACCATCTTTGAAACATTAAAAATAGTTTCCTAAGCAATCAGCAGCACAAATATTACTTTAAGAGGATAAGGGCAAGAAATGTTAATCTATTTAGGAAACCAATCTATTGTCAGAGAAGCATCTTGTCACATCAGAAGAAGTGAATAAAAACCAGCTCATCAGAGCCTAGAAGGATTAACTCTCTTTTTTTTGGTCTTTTTGAGATACTGGGTCTCACTACACAGTTCAGGATGATCTTGAACTCACTTTGTAGCCCAGGCTGGCCTGGAACTCACAGCGATCCTCCTGCCTCAGCCTCCCAAGGGCTGGGATTACAAGCTTGTACCACCATGCCCGGCCTTAGAACGATTAACTCTTGAAAGCAAACCAAACAAGTTACTTTGGTCTTCTAAATAAAATTTTTTTCTCTAAATGCTATACCACAAAACTATCTCTTAAAAAGGGTATGTTTTCAGCCAGTACTTCAGTAAAGTACCCCTCCATTTTACAGAGGCACCTCAGTCAGGCTGGCATGTAACTGGGGCTCAATAATCACAGGGTTAGTAATGTCTTCCAAGCTCATCTGGGGAGGGGGTAAGCTGCCTACTAGTGGGTTAAAGTGGCAGAAGGCTTGACGTGGGGATTAATGCCGAGCCTTGCTCATGCTAATCAGGTGTTCTACCCCATACTTCCAGCCCTAAATGACTATTCTGTTTTCTTCCTTGTAATAAGCTGTAACTTGTGATTTTTCTCATATCCTCCTCCCCAGGCCTAAGAGGAACTGCACCTTTTCAGTCAATTTACTGTGGGCTGGGAAGTGAGAAAAACCAGGTTTACCCAGGATGTGTATAAAGTCTGAGGCTTTACTTTTATGTACAAATGTTAATTACACATTGCTCTGGTAGTAAACTCTTAATACAAGCTAAATGGCCATTACAGAGAAGGAAATGGAAGAAGGTCCCTTAAGATATCTGGCTAACTGAAAAAAGCAAGAAGAGCAGTGTATACAGTATCACTCATGTAAAGATCAGAAAGCAAAAATACACAGCTTGATTCTGCAAGAGTATCTCTGGAGGGACACACCACAAAAACCAGTCTACTTGAATGCACCAGGGATAAATGGATCCACTTCACTGTTTACAGCCTGATTTTTAAAAAAAATTATAAATATCTATTATCTCTAGAAAACAGAAAATCAATACTAAAGGCCTCTGCGTAGAACATGGGCCATTCTAATTGCCTAGAGTGTGTGCTTATTACTTCCTGGTTTGGAGTCTACTGTGGCCAGAGGTTCCAACCTGACTGTAGGTGTAACTGTACCTAATAGCCTGGAGGAGTAAAATTACCCAGGACCTTCCTACAGAGTCTCTTCACTTTTTGGGTAAGAACCGCTCCCAAATTACTCAGATTATTCCACTCAAAAAGAATTTTACAAATCAACATTTTCAAAAACTTCCACCTTTCTGATCTTCAATGAAAATCATATATATATATATAATATTAAAGATGTTAAGCTATGATCTCAAACACCTTCATATGCATCTTAGCTTTTGGCTAGACACAAAGACCTGGGCTGAACCTTGAGGAGGAGTAGGGATGGGAGAAACATACAGACACCAAGAGACAGAGAAAAAGAACGAACACAGGAGCACTAAATCCAAAGATGAGAACAATGACAGGTCAGAAGATATGGGTTCCTTTCTTATCTAGATTTGGTGAACAGTACTTAGTAAATGATTTCTGTATCTGCCTTTAAAATTTTTTGTTTTGTTTTTTGAGATAAGGTCTTGCTCTGTAGTTTAGGCTGGCTTTAATCTAAGTATGTAGCCCAGGCTGGCCTCGAACTCATGGTGATCGTCCTGTCCTGTTGTTGTTTTTGTTTTTTTGGTTTTTCTCTGGTACCGGGAACCGAACCGTCCTGTCCTGCTTCAACCTCCTAGTGGCTGGCAGAGGTTATAGGTATGTGCCACCTGGCCCAGCTATCCATTTTTATTTTTAAACACTGAAAGAGACTGAAGATTACTGAGGTGTTAAAGATCCAAATCTAAAGATCCTAAGGTATTCAGAAATAGAGGCATGAGGAAACATATATATACACACAAAGAGAAGTTAATAAAGACTTTCTCAGTTAATTTTAAGCAATGATTATCTTCAAGACATCAATCAGCTGGAAATGGTTGTGGATGCCTGTAATCCCATTTATTTGTGAGGCTGAGGCAGGAGAATTGCAAGTTAGAGCCCAGCCTGGGCAATTTTAGGGGAGACTATGCCTCCAAAAAGGGGTAAGGGTGGGAGTAGGGCTAGAGCTCCGTGGTAGGTCATCTGCCTAACATGCATGAGGTCCTGATAAAATCCTCAGAACCACAAAATGGGGGAGTCGGGGTGGGACGGGATCATGGGGACAACTTGGACAAAGACTTGCAGATAAGACAGGTTTAAAAGACTTCGTTTCTAAAGCTTGGAAATATCCCCAAATGCTGGACTGTTAGGTAAGAAGAATCTGGCTAATGCTCTCTAGGGTTGCTACTGTTCATGCTTGCCACAGGAATACTGCTGCCTCAGTCAAACATCCAGAACTGTGACCTTCACTATGTGCTTGGCCCATTCTGTTAAAGTGTTGGATATACAGAAAATGGGTCAATCAATGCTAAGTGAAAAGGAAAAGGGATGCTCACATGGTTCCAACCCATTATGCTCTTCGGCATTAACCACAGCAGATTTTCCTACAAGTTACTTTCAGTACCAACTTAGACATCTCATACCAGGCAAGGCTGGCCCACCGGAGATACAGCTTGATGTAAAAAGCACCTCAGAGCCAGATGTGGTAGCACTATCTAGAATCTCAGTACTCTGTGAGACCAGGCAGGACAATCACAAGCCCAAGACCAGCCTGGGGAACTTAGTAAGACCCTGTGTCCAAACGATTAAAAAAAAAAAAAAAAAAAAAAAAAGGGCTGGGGATATAGCTCAGTGTGAAGACAGACCTTCAGTTCAATTGTGAGTACCACACACAAAACAAAACAAAACACAAAGCACCTCAGGCTGGGATCCTGGACATCTTATCACTTAAACCTTCAACCCCCTGCTCTCTGTTTCCTCAGCTGGAAAACCCCCCACAATGACAAGTCTATCCATTCCCTGCTTGGACAGTGGTGAGACAGACATTGTCTGAGACTGACCTGCAGCTCTGCCCAGCCCCAGGTCTCTTTCTCAGGCACCATCCATGAGGAACCAGGCACTCCTTCTAGTTTTCCCCACCCTAGGCCCACTTGTAGGGACCAAGTCCTGTTACAAGTTTGTTCCCCTGACTTGAGGTTGAATGAGGATGAATGACAAAGAGATAGAGTCAGTTTAACATACAGGCAGCCAGAGGCTCTTGCCTCTAGTAGGCAGAAGAGATCCAAGCCTCTGGCTCATCTTCCTTTTACTCATCCAGATATAGGTACGAGTCATTAAAATAACATAAGATTCACCAGCTTCATGTCATCCATTAATATATGCCCAGGTAAACAACTTAAACTCAGCTGTATGAGCTTTCCTTAGAGCCTGCAACACACATCCCCTCATCCATACATAAAATGCCTTTCTCCTTTGTGCTCACAGAGGCCAATTTAGCCTCAACTCACCTCTGGTCTCCCACAGGACATCAAGAATGTTATGGACCTCACGTGGGAACTTGTAAGCTATCCCTTATTTGCCAATTCTTGAATTGATTTGTTTCTGGTGGCTTCAGAGCACTTATAAACTAAATGAACGCGCCCTCCATTCTGCTATCCTTTGCCACTGTTCAAATTTTAAACTCTGAGCTCTAATGGTGCATCATCATTGGCCAGACATGTTAAAGGTAAACTCAGAGCCAGGCATGGTGGCACATGTCTGTATTTCCAGCACTTGGTAGGCTGACAGGAGGATTACTGTTGAGTTCAAGTCAGCCTGGGCTACACAGTGTGCTCAGGACCAGCCTGAACTACATAGGGAGACCCAGTCTCAAAAAAAAAAAAAAAAAAGGTAAACTCACACATCTGACACTAACATTTGGTTGTAGTCACATGGGGAGCTAGCAAAGTTATGCTGAAGCTATTTTTTCCCTTTGTATTTACATGAGAATAGTTCTTAAGGGGCTGGAGATTTAGCTCAGAGGCACAGCGCCTGCCTGGCAAGCGCCAGGTTGTGAGTTTGATCCCCCGTACCGGAAAAAAAAAACCAGAAAAAAAAAAAAAAAAAAGAGAGAGAGAATAGCTCTTAAAATGATTGTGGGCAATTCTGTCTTGGCCATCTGGCTTGGGAGAGCTGATCCAGCCATCTTCTTAAGGCCTGCCCTCACCAAGCAGGCCTGATTAGGCAGGTCTAGCCCACTCTTCTTATCAGTGGGATGCCAACACAACTTAGTTTTGGCAGAAGGGAAAGAGAAAAATCAGGTTTCTAGAAGATTAGAATCATTGTGTAACTTGTTACAACTGGCTATCCTTCTTACTCTTTAATAAAAGGGTCCTTCCTAAAACATACATACATATACACACACACTAACAATCTGGAGATTTTCTGATAATATAAAGATACTAAAAATCTGCCTCAACACTGATCATGAAGCAAGGATTTCTCCAAAGGAGAAATGCTATAAATCCATATTCTTTGTTTCTCTAAGTTATCTTATTATCTTCCTACAAAAAGATAATATGTTAGTCCCACAGTGAATTGATTTTTAAACAGGTTTCATGTGGATATGCGCTGGGTATTGAAACCAGGCCTCAAAAATACTAAGCACATACTCTGCCACTAGGCTCCATCATCAATCCTTAAATAAACAAACAAACAAATAAATAAATATATATATATACGTATATATATAAAAGGAGTTTAAAAGGCTTAAAGTTACTATGCCTACCAGTTGCCTCATATCCACTTGCTTATAAGCCGTCTAAAAGAGCTTTAGTCATTGAGAAATCACATCACAACTACCATCAATGCCAGTAGGTTATATTCATGTTTAGTGTGCACCTCCCTCTATCATTGGTTGTACCTGTTTGGCCTGGCTGAGTGTTCAAGTTCCTTTAACTCTCAACTTTCTGTGGCCTACTTATTTTTTCACACATGAGGATCACTTTATTTATCCTTCAAGTTTTTTTTTTTTAATTGAGACAGGTCTTGCTATGTAGTTCAGGCTGTCCTTGAACTCATAGCCCAGCATGGCCTCACAATCACGACGATCCTCCTGCCTCAGCCTCCCAAGTGCTGGGATTACAGGTGTGCATCACCATGTCCAGCTTACTCTTTAAGCATTTAAAAGGAGTGAATACCTTTCAGGTCCCCTGTAACTTGGCTAAGTTCCTAGTTTTGTTTCAGATGTGTAATTCTTCAGTTAGCCAAGCAAGTTTGTCTATTCATATCCCCAAGCACCAGTTATCCCAGGCAGGGAACCTCTTCTTACCATGTCCCCCACCTTAATAGTATCCCCATGGCCGGAACTGCTATCATTCTTGCCCATCCAAACTGTATTCATCCCACAGGTGAATTCATTCATCAGCCTTCCTGGACTTCACTGTTCTCCACTGACTCCTCTCTCTTCCAGAATCCTTTTGTAATTACTTCACCATTCATTCTGCACACAAGCCCATCTGAACTATTTAAATCTTGTCACTTGACCGAGCACTTAGAAGGTGGGGACCACAATATTCACTTTACAAGGAATTCTTTCACTGTCAAACAATGTACAGTGTGCGCACAGATGTTTGTTCTTTTCATCAGGACAATCTTCCTTGTGGAATCCATGACATTAGAAGAACATTCTCTCTGCATGCTAGTGACATCTTTGAAATACTGCCACCATAAAGGTGGTAAATTGGCTTGTGATAGGGAATTGAGGTGAGGTATATCTTATTGGGAAGGTAGATCCACTATGCAAATGTGAGAACTAAGAAGAGCACTTTCATATATAAACTCCTGAGTGAGCAAAGTATACTGTTGGTAAGAGATTTTAATATTATATATTACTTTCTAGGGATGAATATTTTAACTATCAATGTTAAACTTATCAGAAAAGTCAGACTTTTTTTTCAAACCTCAATTTCCATTTGCCTATAAGACTCATAAATACAAATACAACTAAAAAAATCAAAGCATTTACATAGAACTAGATACTCAACTTGATGTAGTGATAAGAAAACTAAACAAACTGCTGGAAATTCAAGTTAACATTTATTTTTCCCTTCAGTGTGACTTCATAGATGGCCTTATGTCAGGTCAAAGAATCTCAAATTCACGATCCTGGATCCTTTAACTTTAGTTTACATTTGGTAATATTACATTTGGTAATAATGCTTTACTATTATAATATTAGAACAAATCCCTTAGCTTTACAAAAGAGAACGGGAGTAAGCAGTCACTTTTCAGTAAGTGACCAGGTGTGGTGACTTATGCCTATAGTCTCAGCTGTTTGAGAGGGCAAGGCAGGAAGATAGCAAGTTCCAGGCTAGCATGGGCAACTTAGTGAGATCCTGTCTCAAAAAAAAAAAAAAGGGGGGGGGGGATTGTAGCTCAGTGTAAAGGCCTGGATTCAACCTCTAGTGTTGCAAAAAATAAATAAAAGTT